CCGCTAGTTCGAATTTGAATCGAACTAGCGGAGCGTTAGTGTAGCACCTATTAAAGTTAGTTCGAACTAACGTCCGTTAGTTCAAACTAACTTTGTAGTGTAGACATACCCTCTGTGTGTTCATTTTTTCTATTCAAAACCACAAAGGGGAACTGTTTCCTATTAATTATACCATAAAATGAGTGTCCAAATGCCTTTGTTGGGTTTGAAAATCTCATGGTCCCCTTTGCAGACAGTCTGACAGAAAGGAAAGCAAAGCTGTTCACAGGCTAGCTTACCCACGCTAGTTGGGACACAGCTAGAGCAAACAACAATAGCAGCAAAGACACTACAGTGCAGGCTACTGTGTGGATAGATAGTTCAAGACTGGCATGGACCCCGGGTATATTCTTCTCACACCAGTCTGCTCTCAAGATCACGCAGCACTGTCTTCACTCCTGTCATTACCTGCACTAACTAGATTCAAGCTAGCTCATGCTGGCTGTCCCCCATGTACAGATTTTGCTGCAGACATACCCTATGTTTAGTTTACTTCTCATGATTCTTAAAGTAGAATAATTCTACTTTTATTAACTGTATTTTCACCATGCATTTCTCTAGTAAGAGAATCTTTTTTCTCCACTTAACCAGGTGGTACGCATCTCTCTTCTTGTCACTTTGCATGCCCAAGTTCACGCTAATACTTTAAATATGAAAAAAAATGGACAGGTGCACTCCAGACTCAAGTATAAGCCAGTCCCCAAAAGTTAACCATATCCCTCAGATAAGCATGGCAGTAATGTCATGTCATGGTTCAACGGCACTCACTTGAACAGATCTATACATGTCGCTTACAGTTATGGAATTACAAAAGCACAGAGGCAATCCCTAGTATTTTCCTTCAAACAAAGTGTTAAATGTTCCATACAGAACTATACAATTTTGTCAGGGTAAATGTGGCCCTGAGGTTCCATGTGCTCTATTGATGGGAAATGTTATTTTATGATCTTGTCTTCCATGGAGCTGCACAGCAATTTTGTATTCAGAACTATATTCCAGACCATGTTCTTGCCTCTATTCAGTATCTTGATGTGTCACAACTTGGCTTTTCATTGATGCAATACCCATGCACTAAGTATCTTGACTTTTATGTCAACTGCAAAGCATATCTGTACTTAGTGATTTGCTGGCATGTCTGCTACTATTGCATATGCCTTGAACCTTGAAATTATCAGTTCCTCACAATACACCTACACACCTAGTGCCTAGGGTAGAAAAGTTTATTTGTAGTGGTTTCAATGAATGCAGTGATTATTAAAGGTTGCTAATTGATAGCACTGAAAACTAAAATCTATGCTTATAAGAAGATTTGACCCATTATGCACACACAGAGCAAAAGCACAAGCTTACTCCGGACACATGTGACTTGATACTGCTGGCTGTCAGAGTTCTATTGCCTTCATGCTATTGTTACTGAGACTTAAGAAGGATGACAGTTAGTGACAATGGTGAAGATTTCGTAGTGTGGGCTTCTAGCCATACAGAGAACTGGACTGAGATCACTCACTCACTTCATGTAAACTGCCAGCAAGTCATGGGACATGACTTTTGCTTGCTACCAATCTAGGCTTTTATCTGAAGTGGTGGAAGTCTCTATTCTGTTACTATTCTTTCACTATTCAAGTCAGGGTAGCAATGTCCTCCATTTCCAAAAGTGTGAATGGTTAGCTAAACTGGGGCTCAACTGTTCTCCAGTGTCTTTGCTTTTATTTTAATTAAAAATTAGTCTTTAACCTGCTATGGTTTCAAAGAAAAACTTCAAACTGTGAAACAACTGTAACCAATGCAGAGACATCTGCATGAATTTGTAAAGCGCCTGACACAGTAGCTCTGAGGTTTAAACTATGTCATTTATTTGAATGGATAGTAACTTCTATCCCAGGGATGAGCATTTAAATATCAATATTGTTAGTTACTTCACTGCTTGTGGAGGGAGGAAGTCAAAGTAGACGTAGGAGATGTATAAATTAAGATGAGATGGCCTTTAACAACACAACATGACAGTGTTTCAGGGCACAAAATTGGTTTAATTTTTTATAAAGGAGGACTCAGCTTTCAAAAGTTTGGAAAACAGTTGTTTAAAGTATTTATCAGACGGTGGGAAAAGTTTACCTTTTCTTTTCATTTTTCATATGCTACATATGGTAGAATGTCCAGAAAACATAATTATGTTAAAAAAATTTCTCTACAGGTAGTCCCTGAGTTACGCGGATCCGACTTATGTCGGATCGCAGTTACGAACGGGGATTTTCTCGCCCCGGAGGACTCGAGCGGCGGGACGCCTGGTCCTGCCGCCCGCCTCCTCCGGGGCGAGAAAAGCTGCTCCCCCCCTCCCCCGGCTGCCCCCGGGGGCCCCAGGCCCG